ACGCGCACAGCAAGACCACGACATCCCGCCAACATGCCCCGCTCAGCATCAAGACAAGGGAGCAACCTCGGCCGTGGCGCGGGCTCGAAGCGCAAGATCAACTTTGCAGAGATATTCGACCTCAGCAGTCTAGACAAGAACATGTTTGGCGGCGGACCAAAGCGTAGCAGGCACACATAGTGCATTTGCCCGACTAGCATTCCACGACTTTCTTCACTTTCGACAGCGGTTCAACTTTGGGGGGCGGGGGACACGCTCCTCTTACCTCCCGAAGTTGTCTGTTTAACGGTTATACGGACATCATTGTCTTGACGACGGGATTGAGCGAGCATCGAAGGGGGGGCCAGGCACATGGGAGGGAAGAAACTCGCACGCAAAGCATTTAGAGAGTTGCATGCTCACGAGAGGCGTTGGTTTTCCGTTTTGTTTCTTGTTTTTAACTAAACGAAGGTGCATGGGGCGGTGTTATGGTTTTTAGGGGACTGTTTTCGCGATGATGCCAAATGAAAGGGACGGCTAGCTAGTCTCACGAACCCCATAGCTACACATATTCATCATACTATCTGTTCCCCCGTTACTTGTTGGCGGTTTCATGTCGACGACCTTTTGGAAGATAAAGGGTCGGCTGCCATCAACACGGGGGTAATCATAAAGACACAAACACTTTTCATTGTCGCTTACATTTTCTCTCACTTTGCTTCCTCTGTTCATTCTGTCCCCTTCGGAATGACGTTTGCTCTGCTCGCATTGTGTGTACATATCCCCGAATAAAGTTTCAGGTTTCAGGGTTTCAGCGTACCCTCTCAGTTCGGGCTGTTCTTCTGATGTGCATATCGTCGTGCATTCAAACATGTTTCAACACACAACACACATACCACAGTAGGGATTACATCCCGTCGGTCGCAGGAATATGCCCTTCGGGCTTCGTCCCAACCTTCCGAGTAGCAATGAGGTGGTGCCCGTGTCGTCCAAACACCCGCGCGGACCGGCGGGGTGCCTGCCTGCCCAGCATGGGCCCAAAAAAAAAAAGAACAAAGTCCCTCAACTGCAAAGGCGCTAGCATGCCCAATTTGCGGAAAGAGTCATCGCTCAAAGACCCCCCACATTCTTTAGAACGTGCCAGAGGCTTCAGGCCAGCTACACATTGGAGCTTCGGTGATTTCTAGAATCGTTTGTTCGGTGCCTACCTTAGTTTCCGCACTTTGCATACCCAAGGAGGTACGAATACCTAAAAAGTCCAAGGAAATACGCAAACCGTTGTAGCTCACTCGCAGTGTCTCTCTCTTCCATTCTCCTCCAAGCTTCATCAGCCTGTCTCAGTCAGAGGGAAGCCACGTGAAGACAGGCCCCCTGGCCGAGCCCGTCAACAGGGTGATGGGTTCGACAGGGGAACGAAAGAGAAAACCCACCACTCAAACCCCACCAAACTTGGGAGACACGCGCAGTCGGCGCTACCTGAATCCAGAACGGGCGGAAAACCCGCATCGGAAGGGTGGCCGAGTTGGTTATGGCGCCAGGTTAAGGTCAGCTTAACATCTGTTTCCTGGTGGGGCAACCCGCGCGAGTTCGAGTCTCGTCCCTTTCATTTTTGCCTTTTTCGAGCCTGTATCCGACGGAAAGTGGTCCAGAAAGCACAATTGTGATGTTCGTTTGTTCTTTTTAGGTTCTTGAACATCTCGGACGTTGTCGAGAGCTGGGAGAGTTGTAGAGAGCTATGTAATCTTCAGTCACAACGTGCGAATGCTCATCGACCATTACCTTGGAGTCTCCTGCCACAAAGTACAGAGACACATGACATTCATAGAGGACAACAAACACCATCCAAGTGAACAACATTTGAACATCATCATGACTCTCATTTGATGGTACTAACTTGTCAGAAATCTCATCATTACGTTTTGGTTCATCTCATCCTCGAGGCTTCTCCCCACCGCCCCAAAAGCGCGGAGAGGACGAAAGTTTGATATCATCCGTTTCTTACCAGGCTTCTTTTTTGACTTTTCGTTTTTGGTTTTCGCGGACTGCCCTAGGTTTTTACAAAACCAAATCTAACCATCCCCCCAGAGATTTCCCAGAACGCCGTACTAATGCAAGCCGCGAAAAGAAAGACGAACGAAGAAAAAAGTAAGGGGGGCCTTGCTCTTGAATTTTTTCTTTTCCAAACCAGAAATTCCCCAAATCTTTCTTAGTTCTCCTGTCTGTTCTTCCGTTCCCGCTCGACCTCGTACATGAAATCGAAGTAGCCCTTGTCGAACTGGTGGACACGGACGTAACCGTCCTCACCACCACTTGCGTAGCCCTTTCCGGTAGGGTCTGCGGCGACGGTGTTCTTCAAGGAAATCAGTCGCCGGCATAACACGATATCATGGGCTCAGAGGGGGGACTTACCAGAGGACCGAAGTGACCACGGACTCTGCCAACCTCGTCTTCAAAGACCTTGTGGTAGAATCTCGCTTCGAACTTTCCTTGTCTCGCCGAGGTACGGGTGACATCCATGGCGGCCTGACCACCTCCAAGGATGACAAAGTCCTTCTTGGGTGTAATGGTAGCACTGTTAAGAGGGGTATCAGCGGTGTAGGTCTTGAGAACCTCGAGGTCCTTGGCGGTGATGAGCTATATCATGTCAGCATTTGGTCTTGCGAATCGCCAGGCATGTCGGATGTACCTTGGACGTCTTGTCCTTGCAGGCGGTGATGAAGTAGGTTCTGTCCTGGGACCACTGGAGATCCGTAATGGGCGTGTTAAGCTCGTGAACGGGCTCGTTGTAGATCAGGTCACCGTTCTGGCCGATGGTCAGCTTCACAATCCCCATATGATATCCCTCTGACCAGACCCACCTTAGCATCGTACTGCGACACGGAACCGTCCTCGTGACCGGCGATAATGTACTTGGTGAGGTAGCTGAAGCCAGCAACGGTGGCCTTGCTCTCGTCGCAAACGATGGTCAGGACGCGCTCATCGCTCTGCTCGGCCTCGGGGTCGGGGTTGATGTCGACGACGATGATGTTGGAAAGGTAACCCATGCGCTTCTCCGTGACACCGAGCAGCTTAGTGCCGTCCTCGTTGAACTCGACGCGCTTGACAGCGGTAGGGAACTCCCAGGTCTTGAGGTTCTTGCCAGACTTGACATCCCAAAGTCTCATCGTGTTGTCGGCGGAACCGGAAGCAATCAGGGTGCTGGTGGGGTCGACGTCGACAGTCCAGATGGCACCGACGTGGCCGTGGTAGGTTCCCAGACGCTCGCCATTGTGTGCGTACCAGGCGCAAATCTGTTGATCCTTGGCGGTCGAGAAGATCAGGTCACCGTCCGAGTTGTACCTATTCGAGGTGGCGCATCAGGTTAGCATGCATGGCCCCTCCTGTGGTATGGGAGTTGGGGGATGAGGGAGAAGATAGCCCTGGGCGCTTCGCTCCCCCCTCCTCGAATTGGACATTTCGCGCTTGGGGGAGTGCAGAAACGTACTTGATCTGGGTGAGCGCACGCTCGTGGCCTGCCAAAAGAATGGGCCTCATATTGTCTGATGTCGGGAGGTGATGCGGTTCTCGATATCGGGGGCTTGGTATACGGGCACGTTGTTGCGGCAGGGGACGTCGGTCTTTAAAAGGCTGATGTCGTCGGGTCAATCGTGAATTTTTGCCTTCACCTCGACATTGTGGGTTTCGGTGCTCTGGTGTGTGGGGCGCACTTTTTCCCCGCGACCATTCTGCCGGGTGAGGTGAGGGCCATTCACCGCCTTACCGTCTTTGGCCGCCTCAGGCAAGCCGCAAGTGGCAGCTTACCTTAGCACGGGCGTGGGCTACCCAGGTGTGGCACAGTCTTACAGCAAGGTGAGTCAATCGTCCCAGGTGTGTGACGCCGCCAGCGCTTACAGCTCATCTCCTAGGCCTTAGGTGAGATAGGTAGGTACCTGTCTTGCCTGTCAAGCCTAAGGGAGGTGTTCGAGGAAACTTCCACCGGTGCAGGCAAACCCAGCCTTCTAGAACTTTAGCGTGCCGGTCCAGGCAGGCGCACGTCACGGAAGGAGCTGCCCCTGGAGAGGTTGGCGGCGGGACGGGAGTCATGGCAGCTCCAAGACCTCCAACCACCAGCCCTCCAAACTGTCCAAGCCAGACAGCGTGGCATTCGTGGCAGCCCAGCCGTTGAAGCTCCGTGCCCGTCAGAATAGTGCGGTCATCATCGTCCAATTCCGACGCCGTTGCATTTTCAATACCTGTCCATCCTTCCCTCGAGTCGAGTACTCGGTATAATAACAACGTCCTTTTATGGCAACTCGACTCATCCTTGACTCATACGTGTTCCATGAACAGCGTTTCCGGACCTCGAAACTCGGCATTAAACACTATCAAGTCAAGCCTCGGACCCTTTGGCTCAACTACGTGAAGCTCATGGTAGTTTCACATGCGCTTTACCGAGACAGTCTTTTTTGCGAAAGAGAAATCAGACCGTCCGGACCACCGTCGTTTGTTTCTTTGTCTTGTCTTGTTTCCTGTACCATATTTGTATTCACTCACCCCGTTGCCTCTTTTCCCTTCTTGGGCACGTCAATTCATTCGATCCATCTTCTTACCCGTTCAGTCTTGATTGGTTTCTCAATTGTGTGTGTTTTTTTCCAAAACATATCATTTACGGGAGCCTCCCTCAACCATAAACAAACCTCCAAAGCAACTCCGTACTTAGCTTACTTTATATAATACCCACAACTCGACTTCTTATCGATCGGGTTTGCCGCCGGCTTCGGAGACTCGCCCGAAAATTTTCGACCTGCCACAAACGGCTGATCCTTCCATTTTCACTGGGACTCACTCGCACAGAGTCTGCATAGCCAGGACCAGCCTACCAGGGAACCTCAACAGTCATAGGTACGACTCACACGCACGCGATCTGGGAGTCACAGGGCCCTATCGTTTAGCTCCACCCAAGGGAAGATCGAAGCCAGCAAGGGACACACCACCAAGGCCCCAAGGGAGACAGACGCTTCACCCTCATCTCGGTATTCGGCATGTCGTCTATCAGCCAGTTGAAAGGCCCTCAGAGGCTGTCTTGGACAACACGCCGCATGGCCATGCCCAACAAGTCTCAGCTTCGGCTGAGAACCCGCGGGTTGCCCTCGAGAGCACCATCGGCCACTCACAACCCATCGTCACTGTCCCAAAAGAACCAAACCTCCCCTTCCCGCCGGTCACTTCTGAACCTTGGGGTAGATACGGGTCGTTCCCCATCTGGCCGTCGGCCCTGCAGCGCGCTAAATCCCGACTTGCACCGCTGCCCACCACCCCTCATTCTCGCTGCTCCCGCTTACACCCAACTTGCGCGCTTGACTTCGGTGCCCGTCCCGACATTTTCATCTTCTTCCCATCATCCCAAAAACTTCGCGTTTGGACACCTGCGAGGACAAGTTGCATCTCTGGTTTCTTGGCAATCCCTCCGTCCATTCATTGCAAGGGCCCCGGGCTCCTACGATTCGATTTCCCAAAATAGGTCCTTTGCAACCTCAGCCATGGTCGCCAACAAGATCGATGGCACTGCCGTCGCCAAGAAGATTCGGGAGTCCATTGCCAGCGACATTCTCGAGAAGCAAAAGGCGAACCCTAGGTTCCAGCCTCGCCTGACCATCATTCAAGGTATTTCTCATCACTTTCGGAACTCGTCATACCTTCGCAGTGCTGACAATACTCTTCCACAGTCGGTGACAGATCGGACTCAAGTATGTCGTACTTCGTCATTTACCCCACCATGAAATTTATCACGATGCTCACAACCCCGCAGGCACCTATGTGCGCATGAAGCAGAAGGCCGCAAAGGAGGTAAGACATGTCACTGACACCCTAGGTCCACTGACCAATGATTAACATGGTCAGGCAAATGTCGATTGTGAATTGGTCAACTTCCCCGAGTCCATCTCTGAGCCCGAGCTCCTGGATCGCATCTACCGCCTCAACGACGACCCTGCCGTTCACGGTATCTTAGTTCAGCTCCCCATCCCGAAGCACCTCGATGAGTACGTCATCACATCTGCCGTTGCAGACGAGAAGGATGTCGATGGCTTCGGCACCAGGAACATCGGCGAGCTTGCCAAGAAGGGTGGCCGCCCTTTCTTCATCCCTTGCACTCCTAAGGGTGTGATGGTTTTGTTGAAGGAGGCTGGAGTCGACGTGAAGGGCAAGAACGCTGTTGTCCTTGGACGCAGTGATATCGTTGGCAGCCCTGTCAGCTACCTGCTTCGCAACGCCGACGCGACCGTTACCGTGTGCCACTCTAAGAGCCAAGACTTGGAGGCACACCTCAAGGCGGCGGACATTGTCATTGCGGCCATTGGCCAGCCCGGATTCGTCAAGGGCGAGTGGCTCAAGCCTGGTGTTGTTGTGATTGATGTCGGTACCAACTACGTCCCCGATGCCTCCAAGAAGTCTGGCCAGCGCCTCGTCGGAGACGTCGACTATGACTCCGCTGCCGAGGTTGCTTCCCACATCACCCCTGTTCCGGGTGGTGTTGGTCCCATGACCGTTGCTATGCTTCTGTCCAACGTCGTCGAGTCTACGGTAAAGTCGTTCGAGAAGCAAAAACAGAGAAAGATCTCTCCTCTGCCGCTGCACCTTAAGGAGCCTGTCCCCTCCGACATTGAGGTCTCTAGAGCCCAGAACCCCAAGCAAATCACTCGCCTGGCCAAGGAGGTCGGCATTGCATCTCATGAACTCGAGCCGTACGGAGCCTACAAGGCCAAGGTCGACTTGACTATCTTGAAGCGCCTGGAGCACCGTCGCAACGGCAAGTACGTTGTCGTTACGGGTATCACCCCCACGCCTCTTGGTGAGGGCAAGTCGACCACCACGATGGGTATCGCTCAAGCCCTTGGCGCCCACCTTGGCCGCGTTACCTTCGCCAACGTCCGCCAGCCTAGTCAGGGGCCTACCTTTGGTATCAAGGGTGGTGCCGCTGGTGGTGGTTATGCCCAGGTTATCCCCATGGACGAGTTCAACCTCCACTTGACTGGAGACATCCACGCCATCACTGCGGCAAACAACCTGCTCGCCGCTGCGATTGAGACTCGCATGTTCCACGAGAACACCCAGAAGGATGGTCCTCTCTACAAGCGTCTTGTGCCCGCCAAGGGCGGTAAGAGAGTGTTCCCGCCGGTCTTCTTGCCCCGTCTTAAGAAGCTCGGCATCGACAAGACGAACCCCGACGACCTTACCGCTGATGAGATCCGCCGTTTCGCTCGCCTCGACATCGACCCCGAGACCATCACCTGGAGACGAGTTCTGGACGTCAACGATCGCCACTTGCGTGGTATCACCGTTGGCACTGCGCCGACTGAGAAGGGCCAGACCCGTGAGACTGGCTTCGACATCTCTGTTGCCAGCGAGTGCATGGCCATTCTTGCTCTTAGCACCGACCTGGCTGATATGCGTAAGCGTCTGGGCAGCATGGTTATTGCTAGCTCCAGAGCTGGTGACCCTGTCACCTGCGACGACATTGGCGCTGGCGGCGCTCTCACTGCCCTGATGAGAGACGCCCTGAAGCCCAACCTGATGCAAACCTTGGAGGGAACTCCTGTGTTTGTGCATGCTGGTCCTTTTGCCAACATCAGTGTTGGCAACAGCTCCATTCTGGCCGACAAGATGGCCCTGAAGATTGTCGGTACCGAGCCTGATGAGGACCACTCTGAGAAGGCTGGTTTCGCCATCACTGAGGCTGGCTTTGACTTCACCATGGGTGGTGAGCGTTTCTTCAACCTCAAGTGCCGTGCCTCCGGCCTTGTTCCCGACGTTGTTGTTATCGTTGCGACCGTCCGAGCTCTCAAGGTTCACGGCGGCGGTCCCCCTATCTCCCCTGGTGCGCCTCTCAATGCTGTGTACAAGGAGGAGAATGTCGACATTCTTCGTGCTGGTTGCGTCAACTTAAAGAAGCACATTGAGAATGCCAAGCAGTACGGCATTCCCGTTGTTGTTGCCATTAACAAGTTCGTCACGGACACTGACGCTGAAATCGCTGTCATCCGTGAGGAGTCCATCGCTGCCGGTGCCGAGGATGCCATCTTGTCCAACCACTGGGCCGAGGGTGGAAAGGGCGCCGTCGAGCTGGGCAAGGGTGTCATCGCCGCCAGTGAGAAGCCCAAGGACTACAAGCTTCTGTACGACCTCGAGGGAACTGTTCAGCAGCGCATCGAGGCTATCGGTCAGAAGATGTACGGCGCAGCTGCTGTTGAGTTCAGCGAGCTAGCTCAGAAGAAGGTTGATACCTACACCAGGCAAGGCTTCGGAAACCTTCCCATCTGCGTTGCCAAGACGCAGTACTCCCTGTCTCACGACCCTGAGCTGAAGGGTGCTCCTACTGGCTTCACCGTTCCCATCAGGGACGTCAGACTGGCTGCTGGTGCAGGCTACGTGTAAGTTGAGCTACCCATGAGAGAATCATTACATTTCTGACAAAAGTTACAGCTACGCGCTCGCCGCAGATATCCAGACCATCCCGGGTCTGCCCACTGCCCCTGGCTACTTGAACGTCGACGTCGACACCGAGACCGGTGAGATTGACGGCTTGTTCTAAATGTGTAGAGGGACCATCTTACGTACGACATTGTGAATTTTGGGGGCGCTTATAGAGAGAATTAATTTTTCATGGCGGGACGTGGGAAAAAAGGAAAGCGGCATTCCATTTATTCAACAAATGGCGCTGGGGAATACGGAAAGAAAGACTAAAGAAACATGCATCTGTTCAACAATGATACCTCCTCTCGGACTCTTAGATAGACCGAATACAAGAATACAAGACTATTCACGTTCAAAGAGGGCAAAGGCCTGATTCTGCTCGTTGGTGCCCCTTCTCCCCTCCTATCCTTCTTCCTATGACTTGACCGCTTGAAGCGGTGTACAATGTTTGCGCCCTAGGTATCGCCAAAGAGGCGTGCTCAGCAGTAGGCGTACCCAACAACTCGGAGCCGAAGACTTTAACATAATCGGCCGACATCAAGAAGCCCCGGCAACGACTCCCGATGCCATCTCAAATCAAATTGCTAACCTCCCCGACGAGGCTTCCCAAAATGGGTGTACCTACCACATAAATCGCCCAAGCTAGATCATCGTGACTTTCTTCTCCCTCTAGCATTCCCATCGCGGAGGCTCATTGCCCGCTTTCTCGAAGTAGTCAGCGGGAGTCGGTGTGTATGATGGGGGGGGCCGTGATTTAGTCGTTTCATCGGGGAGCCGGAATAGAGTTACGGGAAGCGATGCTCCGTTTTTTGTGGTCATGCTCACTTCCGGCCGGGCCTGGAGATGAGATGTATGGGATTCCGCGATTGGAGGTACCATGTAAGGCGGCGGCTGCGTCGGCAGTGTCATTGCGACGTTAGTATTCTTTGATCCAGCGGCACGGTGCGTTAGTTACCTTTGTGCGTGAGGCCTCTGGCCGGCGTGGTCCCGGTTTCTGGTGGAAGCTGTCGTGGCAAGCTTGGAAGCGATTTTCGTCTCGGGCCGCCTCGAGTTGTCTGGTTCTCGTGGGTTTCGAGTTCATATCCTCCCTTACCTCCCTCCGTCTCGACACCCTCTCTTCTACGCTCTCGCTGCTCGCCGTCTCGCGCGGCTTGGGTAAGCGGAGATTATTTGAATCTGTTGTAGCTACTAGGAAAGGATGACCCGGGATCGTGGTACTCTAGAATTGGCTACTCGTGCAGGGTGCGCATTCTTAACGACCTCTTGGGTGTTTGGTTTATCGATCGATTATAAACTCAAGCTGAACTCGAGGACCTCATATTGTTTAGTCCAATAGCTTTATTACGCGAAAGTGACTCGGTGATAATAGACCGTCGGCGAGTATCCTGTTTTTCCACGGCTAAGGGGGGTTTGATCTAAGGTTCGACATAGTCATTGATGCTCCGAGGGAAAAGCCCTTGGCGGGGTATCACGATCCGGACATCAGACGACCGTTGGAAACTTCTTCATCATTATCTGTATTTGCCCCAACCACATCGGCTGTCAAACCTTCGAAGAGCTTACCAAATCTGTCCTCAGAGTTTACAAAATTTCAGATTAATCTACGAAACATAAACTATTCCACACTCCCATACTCCACACTGAAACCCAAAGGGGTAAGGTACATGACATGCATAAGAGGATGCTATCACGTAGGAATCGAGTAGGAGATTTGGGTTTCCTAATTGTCCATTGTTCTATGAATCATCGAAAGCTACAGTGCGGCCACCGAGGCCAAGCTTCTGTAAGAGGGTATGAACGCGCGCGCGACGACAATGACCGGGCGGCAGCTATTTAGCAGAACGATATCTCTTTGGCCAAACCCTAAGAAAGGATCCAATCCCTATGTCCTCTGTTCTTTTTGTTGCCAAGCTGCCGCCGCATAAAAGCAAAAAGAAGAGCAAAACCAGAAGGCCGTTCCTGTACCCGTATATACTCCAACACCATACAAAGAGACCAAAGGAGATCAAAGTATGCACACGAAGAACTTCGTGGAGTGACGCCAGTGATATGAGCCAGTAAGGATGTTGACGACAATAAAGCCATGCTAAACCACTCGCTCGTAACTCAGGATGCATCTCCCACGGACAGCTGTCACGAATTACCAGCCAAACTGCTCGCAGTGAAGCTCCACGGCTGGACCAGATGTGCGGATGCACCTGGCAGTCGTATTGCGGACCTGCGTCATCAGGCTCTCAGGGCCACAGCCCATGACGAGAACTCGCTCGCCAGAGGGCGTCTCATCAATAGCATTCTGGATGATCTTGGCGACGTCGGGGCGTCCGTAGTGAACAGGGATACCGCCCAAGCTGTTCAAAGCTCCGTTCTGCTGGATGGTGGGAGACGAAGGCGATGTGGCATCAGACTCAAAACCGGACTTCTCGGGGTCGGACACAGCGCGAGTGTTGATACGAGGAGGCTGCTGAGGAACGCCGTTGGTGGTCTCGAACTTCTCAGATGAAGGGGTGAAGGGCGTCGATGCCTCAGACGAGATGGTGCCCGAGCGGGATCGATCCTCCTTGGAAGAGCCGGGAGTCTGGGAGGAGGAGCCCTGACTTCCAGGCGCGCGGGTGACGTAGAGTTGGATGTTAGCACCGAGGGCCTGACGAATAGTGGAAAGGTGACCGGCGAACCACTCGAGACGAGCTGAGAGATCTGATTAGTTTGGGAGTTTGGGAGACAAAGTTAATCGCGAAATGTACTTACCGGGATCCTTGACCATCCAGACAAAAGTGACACTCGGCATAGATCCCTGTGCGACCTTCTTCAACAGGTTGAGGACCGTGCCAACAGTGAAGCTGGCTCCACTACCTCCAGCGACGAGTACGATCTTGTTGTACTCGGAAGGGTTGGGGAACGTTCCATAGGAGCCCTCAACGGAAGCCTTGAGGGTTGCACCGGGGTTCTGGACTGCGTATTCGTGGAGCTCGCGGGTGAAGCCATCGTACGAGTTGATGACAAACTCGAGAGGGTTCATGGCGGCAATGGTGAAAGGGTGCATCTCCAGAGCGCGGATCTTGGGAACCCATAGGAAGCAGTGTTCTCCAGAACTTGCGCCAACGGGGGCCTTCTTGAGGATGATGCGAGTGCCACCGTGGGGGAGCGGGTAGACGGTTGCGTTGTTGTTGAAGCTGTAGAGCACGACGCGAATGAATCTCACAACGCGGTCCGCAACCCAGATACCAGCAGCAACAGCCGTAATGATGATGATCTTCTTGCTAAGTTCGGGCTGGTGAAGGCCGACGAGAACCATCGAAATTGCGAAGAAGGACACGTGAAGAATGTAGAAGAGCTCATAGTACCACAATCGTACGATGGCTCCGGCGAGCACAAGAGAAAGGAATGTGAACCCGGAGGCTATGCCGTAGATTTCTTCAGCAACACGAAGGCGTGCCATGTTACCAGCCTCGATGAAGTAGGCGGAGTATGTGGCACCGTGGACAATGATAAGGACCATGGTGATGTATCCGGCGATTTGGTGCAAGACATTGAGCCTCTCGTAAGACCAAGCGGTTAGGAAGCCGAGAGGAGTGTTCTTCAGGCTAAGGAAGACCACGAAGGCGATGTTGGCGATGGACAGCCTGTAAAGGATCAGTTTCTGGTGTTTCCAAAGATGCTAATGGTATTCGAGGCTTTGTAAAACCTACCATCCTGCGCGAGCCGCAATGACCGTGAGATAGGGAAGAGCGGAGGCGTCGATGTGAGTGAATAGCAGGGCGATGTTGATTACGAGGTAGCTAAGAGCTACAACGAAGTGGCCGGTGGATGGCAAGGCAGGAAACTTGTAGACGGTGACTCTTCGGATGGATCTATGTGGTGGTCAGTAATTTTATGCGATAAAGTACAAGCTGATTTATTCTCGAGTCTTACCGTGATACAAAGAGGAACGGCTTTGCCAGACCAGATAGCTTCGTATTAAGACCGGCCTTTGAAGCACCACGACGACCAAGATGGAAGACGATGAAGAGGCCCATGATAGAAGCCAGGGCGATGGCGAAGTAAATCGTCGCCTCCTGGTTCAGCTTCGTCCGCTTTGCGAAGAGCAAAGGGTAAGCTGAGGGGCCACTAGCTCCTCCAGCCATTTTTGCGCGTAGTCGTGCGGATGAGTGAGCAATTTGAGGCTATTCGCAGTCTGGAGAAGGGATGGAGGATCAGCGCGGTGAGCAAGGTTGTCGTCGTGAGTTGAAGTGAACCGAAAGGACGGATGAGAAGCGGGAATGTGCCAAGTTTATAACAAGAAGGTATTGTTATGATGTGTTTACGAGGGTGTGAAAGAAGACTCGTTGATAAGAATGGCGCGGAGGGTCTCAGAGTATTGTGATGAAGAGGGAGGATATTTACTCGGGACGCGGCAGTGGGAGGTGTGTGTGAAGTAGAAAAAACCTGGAAGACCCCCGTTTGCGGCAAGCGGGAGCGGGAGAGGGTGAGGAAGAATAAGTGAAGCGTTGTGTACCGGAGATAATATTGAGGTGAGGTGAATATGTGTGAAGGAGGGGGGGGCCAGGTGGTGGTGGTGGTGGAGGTTGGCCCGGGTAGGTTGAGTAGGTAGGGAAGGAGGTCAGGTACACAGTCCAGGTCGTGCCTTCCTTGAGATTTTAGATTCATCCCACCCTTGTGGCTTAGAATCGATCTTATTGTAAGGTAAGGTAGAAAGAAAGAAAAATAATAGCCAACCCTGAATATTACGAGACTGTAAGGTTTGGCAGAGCGGATCTGTCTGGGAAGGAGTTGCTACTACCTGATTCTTTCCCTAGAGCGTACCTTCCTTGCTTTTTTCCTATACCTCCCTACCGATTCCTATCTCTTCCTTCATCCAGTACTTTTGAGATGTATCTGATGATGAAGAGGGGCGTTGAAAAACTCTGAAAAAAGGCGTCGAGTCCTGCCACTCTATGTAACTCATACGTGAACTTACACAAGTCGTCTGCATGCCCCACTTACACGCTGTCCTTGGATGAATGCGGTCTACCGACGTAGTTCCCGTGGCTTGACCCGCGTGGCTTTTTCTCCCACTCACCCTTATTTTTTTTCTTTTCCTGATCATCCCCTCCTTTCCTGATCGCAGCTGGACTTCAGATAGCAGGGCAAACGTTCAGATAAGAAAGAAGAGGGAGGGTCTCACCGTCAGACTCGAGGGCAATCAGCCCAAGAGTGCCTCAATGAAAATGTTGCAATGATAGCCGTCGGATTGTGTATTCAGTCTAGACCTTCCCTTCGCGGCCGGCCACCCGCTTCACATGGTACCCTCTCTCAATTTGTTGGCCCTCTCATGTTGCTTTGCTTACAACGCACTTACACAACGGTGGTCCCAAAGACCTGTGCATACCAGGGACCGACTGCCCAGCTCCATAAACATCCATGTGAGACAAGCGCCACGTTCCCCAGATAAGTCGATCCGTTGAAGTCTCGACAAAAAAAAAACAGGGACTTCCCCCTCTCACACGGTAGGGTAGCTACATCTCTCTCGTCCAGCCCCGAGACTCGAAGATGCCAAGCAAAAGAATAACAAGCCTTGGTTCATGTGGAGAGCCTCGAGCCGTTCCTGGACAGCTGCGTCGTACGGCCGCTGAGTGAAAGGGCTCAGACACCGTACGTGTACACATATCGCCGCTCCATGCCAATGCCCAATGACGAGATAGCCAACCCCATCTTCGACGAGGGTCCTTTTCGATGCCGGTAGCCGGTGTAACTTTCACGCCATCTTGTTCTCCGCAGCTGGAGCAGGCGCAGCAGCAGGGCGGGAGGGGAGCTTGGACAGCGGTAAGCGGGAAGGGAGGCGAGAAGAAAAGACGGGGGAAATTGTTTGCCAGGGAAGGTCTCACGGATCGTGGATCTAGATTAAGATGGATTCCCCTACGAGGATTTGAGAATTTGAGAAACAGAGAGGGCCGTATGGTCTAGCTCCATAGAGCCTGGACTAGCTGTTTTGGTTTGGTCAGCTTGACAAAGCACTCTACGTTTCTTTTGCGTTGCGATGGAAAAGACCATGGTCCATAGACGAGGTACTTTTGTGTAGGGCACATCCTATGGCAAGGAAAGGGTAGGCAAGCAAAGTTCGTTGAGGTTAAAGTAGAGTGGTCCGTCACGCCTATGATGAACAGCCCCTCGACCCCACCGTTGTCTGCAGCATGCCGTGAACCGCCGCCAGGACTCGGACGGGGCCTCGCTACACAGCACACAGCCAAAGACGGAAGCACGGGGGTCGTTGACACAATTTGGGTGAATCGAGCCAAACCGCAAAAAGAAACGAGACAACGCCAAGGAGAGACAGAATCCGCCTCACAAGCCAGACACTGTCATGGCCGAGGGCTGAGGGCTGAGTGAAAGCCAGGCGTCCGGCTCCAAAATGCATCCAGATAGTAGCATCCAGTGTGGAGCTCTGGTATCAGCGTGCCTATCTGCATCTTGCAGATAGATTGACTTGCCTAGATGGGATAGAAACATGATTGCAAAGGCCCTCGTACGGGCCGTGTTTTTCGGGTACAAGTTGGAGCCCAAAAATCCCTTGTGAGAGAGATCCTTGGAATGTCTTGTCAGCAGCAAATCTTGTCGACCTCCTCAAAGTCACCTGCTAAAAGGGTGACCCTGGTCCCCCTTGACCTTGCTGCATTAGGCCGTGATCCGTTAGTCGTGATCTTCGCCATAGTCCACCCGCGTCTAATCCCCGAGAAGGTAAGTCGTCAAGGGCTTGCTTGACAGGCCCCGTGTTTTCGCTTGGAAACGGCACCGTTCCAGTGGGGGTTTCCTCGACTTACACGCCGCCTCCGGGGACGGGATGAACTAGAGGTGCCAGGGCCTGACGGGAGAGCGCGGGAGGACGGGACATGAAGTGAGTGGCGTGGACCTGGCCTGGCCAGTGCTGGACTACACTCGTCGTCGTCCACTTCAATCCGTAGTTTGACAGTCCGTCAAGAACTCTCAGTGATATGTGACGCGACGCGGCTGGCCAAAGTGTGCTTCCAGCCAGCTTAGACTCGTCACATTGCACAGCTGGCTGGTGCTCGTTGCCGCCATCGCCGGAAGCAGCCGCGCGCGCTGCGTCAGTAGGGCAAAGACTGCCTTGATACATACAACTCGAAGCGACAGCGTTGATGTACGTTAAAGTCAGCCGGCGAGGGTGTCCAATGAGATGGAGCTAGGTCGAGCAATCTAATCAATCTGTTGTAGAAGGCGGCGGCGAATGGCATGAGGTAGGCTTTCGGTCGGTGACACTCCCCAAGCCGTCTAGCCAGAGTGGGCGGGCAAATAGCTGCTCCGAGGCCAGGATGCCGTTGTATCGTGCTCATTTGCGTAGCATCGCGTGTACCAGACTTTGTCGCGTAACGACTTGCCCGTTTCTCTCGCTCGTGCGTCTGGCTCCGATAGTCTGGTAGCCTTGGTAGAGGTCTGATTCATCTTCAAAAGACAAATGTCTTGGTGAAAGCAGCCGCTGCCTTGCAAATCCACGCGTACCATACCGGAGGGCAAGCGATACGCCGGATCCGGAACGATGCAATTCCGTCTAGCGGGCTGGCAGATTACCGTTGACTTTGTTGGGCGTCATGGATCTGGTGCTTCCGTTGCTTCTCGAGCTGTCACTTTGCGGAACAACTCACTCGTTCTCTGGAGTACAGAGTTGCTCATCCACGTGTTCTCGGGCGTGATTTGAGGTGAAAGTGCGGAGACGATGGGAAGCGGCAGGTTCTGAGGCACGCCAAAATGCAGTCGTTTTCGTTGGGTGCCAGAACCCAAAGGTGCCTCCATCACAACAGATGCAGCTAAGGATGATGTGCCTAGATCGTGCCTGTCTTTGCGTGCCACTCACATCATCTTTCAGTGATGAGAAAGCCACACCCCTTGACCATTCCAGGTCCACGTTTGGGCTGAGACAGTTGACGTGCGCACTGGCGACGCAGGTTGAGGCTCGTGTACATGCCGTTCCCGAGACAAGATCCAGATCTGTCTGGCCTGGTACTGATTGCTGAGGGTGGATCGGATTGAGTTGACCTATGACTTGAATATACAAGCGGGAGAGGCGCAAAAGGCTGAGTCGGGAGGAAGAGTCATGTTGGACCTATTGGCAGCAGGGCGCAGTTGCGCTGGTATCAGTGCCACGAAGAGGGAGCCCGGAGAAGAGAAGCAGGAGAGGAATGCAATGGTGTGGTGAACAATCCACCCGCGCGGGTAACTACGCTAGACGAGGAAAGGACTTAGGAGAAGTAGATAGCAAGGTACATCCCTCAATGCGATGCCAAGCATTCGATGGTAGTATCTCAGTAACTACTGGCAAACTCAACCCCCAGTCTTCCTCCTCCCGGCCCCACCATCCGCTTTCTCGACATCAATTTGACTTCACTCGCCTGCCCACCACTACCGACGTCAACCTAGACGACACACACTTCCGCATTTGTCATTGGCAGATTCCAACGTTCACTCAAGGCCGCCTTCATCAACATACTTGGCTGCCCTGGTCAACGGGGAAACACATGAATCAGCTGGCCGCGCGGATGCAGAGACAGAGACAGAGACAAACGCCACTTCACCTATCGACTCTAAATCTAGGAACAGGATCTCAACATCGTTACAAGTGACTAACACCACGCGGCGATAGCAGCCAGGTCTTTGTAGATTGCAAATCGATGGCGAAAAACAAACAAGCATCCGGTATGCATTCTCATTTGCTCCTTTCTGGGGCCAACCCGACATCAAAACCGCTTTGCAGATCATCATCCTCTTGCAGAATTCTCTCTAGTCGAAGCGTACGCAATCTCTTTACCGGACACATCCGCTGTCGCGCGAGCCTACACTGGGGACGATACCTTGAACGTCTCTCCAAATCGCTGAAGCACCTCGGACGCCTCCTGCGTCAACTCTATCTCCGCCGGCCTCGAACCATCTGACTCCATAAAGTTATGGAACATGAGTCCACCATCAGTCTGGTGCTTTGGACAGAGGCGAGGTTTAAACTTGCAGTCGCAAGCGGAAGCGTCGTCAGCTTTTTCGTTTAGCTGTACCTCCAGGCTGTTCTGCAAGGAACTCCATGGCTTCTTGATCTCTCCTGCGTCTTCAGAAGCCGTCGCTTGCTCGAACAATGCCCCGGCGACCTTGCGCCTCTCTGAGGCATCAGCTTCGAGCCCTTCGATCTTTCCAAGCTCAAGATTGGCGTACGATCTGAGGAGATTGATGGATCGCCAAACCTCTGCTGTTTGGGCTTCTGTCTGCCAAGCACCCAAGTTGCTATTCCACTCGTGGAGCACTTCAAGCAAGTTGAATGCTCTCTGCAAGCTGTGCAAATCCCTCTGTTCGAGTGCTGCTATGATTTCCTTTCTCCTTCTCACAAAATCCGCTAGCCTCCAGAAGTTGGGCACATCAGCGTTGATGCCCTCCTTTGCTTTGGTGTCAGGCCACAGGACACTCTGTATGATATCTGGCAGAGTCTTCCTCGTTTGTTGGTCTCCAAATATGCGATATGATTCTGACCGTGCCTTGCTAAGCGCAGCCATCAGCTCTGCCCGCAGGTGAGAAGCTCTTTCACTTTGTTGAGCATCAGAGCCGGCGTCATCCACAGCCCTAGGAATAGTCATGTACGATGTCCACTTCATCGCTTCGCTCTTAGCTTGAAGCTTAATTTGAAGCTCTTGGGTTTGTCGTGCAAGTTCTGCCAGTTCGTTTTCGCTCTCTTCCTTGGCCGTCTCTAAAGCCGCGAGCTTATCTGTGGTCTTTTGACGTTGCTCCTCCAAAGCGTTGTTCTGGGCTTCGAGATTGCGAAGTTCCGTCTCTTGCGTCTCCCGTTCTCTGTGGAGTTCTCTGAGTCTATCCGATACAATCTGCTCCGTATTCGAATCTCGCTCTTGGGCTTCGGCCTGCATATCTTCAAGCTTGCTCTGGAAAGTGCGAACCTGTTCTCTGAGGCGATCTCTCTCCTCTTTCATGCATGACTCTACCCTGCGCGCTAGCTCGAGCTTCTCTGTCGCCTGCTGTTCTAGAGTACGCTTGGTCCGTTCCGACAACTCTTGGACTTGTCTTTGCAGCGACTTTATCAAGCGGGCTTGTTTTTCATTCTCCGGTACGTCTTTCTCGCCTGAGTCAGATTGATCGCCTGTCTTGGGAAAGGGTTTCTCGAGGTATAGTGCCATCTGGGATTTGAGCTCGAGGATGGCGTCAGCTAGTCGTTTAACAGACCTAATCGTTGTCCTCGTTTCTGCTAGCATCTTGTCCGTCGAATCGCCAGCTTGCCCCAGCTGGAGGGACATATTCAGCAAGCCGACCTGGTCGGATACTCGCTTGCCATGCATCTCTAACAGGTCCACGATGCACTGCAGAGACTCGGGCACCTCTGGACGACCCAGAAGCTTCTTGTAGTTGTGAAGGGCTTCCATCGCTTCTCTGATCTTGCGCTCACTCACGGCTTCGAGTGCGCTCTCGAGCTTCAGTTTCTCATCCAGTCTGTACTTCAGTAAGCGGCAATAGTCCTTAATTTCCGCAAGTCTAGCACTGATCTCCCGCTCCAGCGTGGGACACCGCAGGCACTCTGGCCTCGCCGCGGCCAGATCGAGGTTTTCCCAGGTTTTCGTAAAGGGATCTGTGAAGACGGGGCTTGGCTCAGGAGCTACCGTCGTGTCCATGAACTCTACAACCTGGCTGCCTCTAGGACTCAAGACGAATCTGACCCCATCACGGGGAGGCGGGGTTTCTTGCTGAGAGGTGGTGTTGAATGCTGGCGCCTCTGATGGGATGCTCGCCACGGGAACGCCGAGTCTCATTTCGTTGGGAGCTGAACACAGCGAATGGTTGCCGAAGGTCCCAGTCGGAGGCTGCGGCTGGAAACCCGGTGCGAGCGTAGTCGATTCGCGAGCGTGTTGCGCAGCGTAATCCAGGCTGCTAGCATATCTCTGGCGCACCTCCAACCGCTGTGTCGCGATCTTGGTAAAGGCCATGACGGCAGACCTACGCTCGTCATTATCACGCTTGACCTGGTCATCGAGGATCCTGAGAGAATCGACCAGATCCTTGTTGTCGATCTGGAACATCCGCTGCACCTGGTCCCCTTGATGTCTGGCCCCGACATACTCGTTCAATTCCCTGCTGTTCTTCGCCATGTCTCTAATGACGCCGTTCAGCTGTTCGAGGTCCTGTTGTAGAATCTCTCCACTATCGCTGATCCTGTTCTCAATGATCTCCTCGGTGTTGCGGTGATCGAGGGCCAGCACGCGCGCCGTCTCAAGGAACGTCTCCCAACGTCTTGCGTCCCTGGAGCACCCACTCATCACCACCACGCCTGGTATGTGGCCCCAGTGATCGCCATTACGCGTGAGAGTCTGCTGGATAAACTCATGCTGCCTCCTTACAGACCCATCCAGCTGCCTCCAGGCCCTCTCCATCCTCTCCGCCGCGCACTTCATCTCCACCTCGTCGAGCTTCTCCATGACGGCATCCATGTCCTGCCGATACGTCAGCCGCAGCCGCGCCTCCTCCTGTGCAGAGGTATACATCAGCCGGCAGAGCTGGTGAATGATGCGGTTCACAAACGGGACCTTGACCCACGTCCGCCCCTGCATCCACTCCAGCAGCGCGGAAATCATGCCGTCGTTGGATGTCTCGAGGTCGAAGAGGGCGTAGTAGTCGTCCGAGGACATGCTCTCCCCTGTCGCCTTTTCGAACTCTTCCTTGCGGAGCCGGGCCGCCACGTCGCGGGTGTAGCGCGGGTACCGGAGGCGGCTCGAGAGCATCGTCTGGAACTCGGGGGGCATCGTCTCGAACGTGTCATTCCAGACTTGGATGATCATCTTGCGCTCCTCTTCGCCGCCGGGGAGGGGCTGCGGGCGGATGAAGATGTGTGTGCGGGCTGGAGCGCCCGGAGGCGGGACCTTGATGCGGCGGAGGGTGAAGCCCGCGCCGGAGCGGCCTGGCTCGTTGTTGTATGCGCCTAGACCGGCGGAGAGCAGACGGCGGCGTTGATGGTTATGGACCGGGGGTGGCGGCTGGACTATGGTGTCTGTTGATGAGGACCGGGAGCCATGCCGTCGTTGGTTCTGGATGGGAGTGGAGGGCGAGACCGGCTCGTTGGATCTCATGAAGCCTGGTATGTCTCCCGGTCTAGTTGGTGCAGGAGTATGTATGATCGGTGATACAGGTGACACGTCTCGGTTTCGAGCATGGCTCTCCCCAGGAGACGTGACTGTTTGGGAAGACTCTGGTCGACAACGTCTCGGAGCTGGAAATTCCATGGGACCTTCGGGATATGGCGGTCTCTCGTCCGTCACCTGTTGAGTGCCGTTGCGCTCTCTTTCTCTCTTTGCCCTCTCACGCGCTGCCACTAGCCCTCTCGGTGTCAAAGGTCTCACAGGTGCAGGTGAAGGGGTTTCTGAGTCGGCTGACCCCGACGCTGGGGGTTCCGCTTCCTGCAAGACTGCCGATGGTAGGATGTGAGGGTCATTATCGCCTGTACCATCGTCCTTGCCATTTCCAATGACATTGTTCATCGGGCCAGTCTCTGTCGAAAGAGGACGTTGAGGGGAGGGTTTGTTTGCTCTTCCGAGCACGGCACTCATCGACTGCGAGTCCAATGCTTCTTCGATCGACAAAGAGTATAAGGGACGATTATAGACTGCTCCGAGTGCAGTCTCAGGACCGGGATTCTGGTGAAAGCGATCAGAATCGGCAGCGGTAGCTTCTGTTTCCTCGCTAACTTTACGACTGGGGCCAGACCCATCGTCTTTAGAGCCTTCGTCCACCGATTCGGACTTCTTCTTGGGTGGTCGTGA